TCTGTCTGTCTGTCTATTTATTTATTTATTTATTTATTTATTTATTTATTTATTTATTTATTTATTTATTTATTTATTTAAATTACCTGCCCTTATTCTATGATTTAGAACATCCTTTTAATTATATATATAATATCTATATTATATCCACTCCTCACTCCCTACCTTCAGTGTGCAGGCGGCCTTTCTATGCAAGCTCATCTCTAAGGGCTGTTGCAGTTTATCATGATTCTCCAGCAATACCTAAATGCAATTTCAGCACATATCACTTGCACACTGTCTGAGTAGTTAAAGTGACTTCTTGGGACCAGCAAGCGTAAAGGGTCACTACTGCGGCCTTTGAATGCACTCAGACATTCTACACAGGCACAATCCAACAAATCTGTTCCTTTCAAAAGTAGCAGGAGCAGAATAAATGACATGAGACGTCTAAGTTCACAACAAATTTTGGTAAATCAATTTTTTTGCTGCCTTGCTTTCAAAAAAAAATCATACACTGCACCTCCAAGTGTTATAAAACAATTTCTTTTTGTCCTTGTCTGGTTTCCAAAGACAAAAGTATGATTATCTTTGTCTGAAATATATTGATGCATGAATCTAACTTGGTGTTTATAGCAAGTGTTGAGACCTTTGTTTTACACAATTTTGTATCTTGCTTACAAATTGTCTCAGTGTACATAATATTTCCCCCTATTTTATATCACTCATATGGGATTTTAGTATTTGGTTCGCAACAATCTTGCTTTGGGCTACTCTGTTAAATCGCATTAATAATGGATTGTATCCCATGGCATCACTCTGCCAGTGCAAAGCTTCTGTCATGTGTGGAAAGGAAATGGAATTTTCATCTTTGCACAAGTAGCATTTCCTTCCCAACATTTTGATTCTGTTAAGCTTCTGGTAGCCTTTTGTGGGCCAACACCTCAGTTATAGAACTCTTCCTCTCAGGTAGAGGTGGACAATTTGGGTTTGTATTGCACCTTCCACTGATGTTCAGCATTGACTATGCTAGTTAAGGATATAATCATCATAACCATCTTAGAACTGCACAGCTGATAGGAACCCAATGATCATCAAGTCTAGCCCCTATCAAGGAGGCACAGTGGGGAATTGAATTCACTGAAACTATTGAGCTATTCAGCAGTTCATCCAGCAGGATGACAGGAGCTGCAGCCAAAATATACCGGCAGTGCCACAGATTGCCCAGCACTTCCATAAATGTAAGATGTTTGTCCCTTCTTTGCTTCCCTCTTGACAAATAACAAAGATGTCATTTGTTTTACTCAACATTTAATTGCTGTTACTGAGGATCCTATTGTTGGCTGGCCTTTTTAATCATTTTGCCTTGTTTTGAAATTGTTGTTAATACTGCTTTTATTTTTTGTGTTATATTAGGTAAAATGCATAAAATGTTTTAAATACATGCTGAAAAAATGTCCAAAACAAACACAGGAAGTAGCACTTAATATCAACAACAATTCAAATTCCTAGTCACACAGTGACCTAAAGCAACCGCACAAGGGCAAAGACAATGTAACTAGTGTAAAAACAAAGAAAAGATATTTTTGGATTTTGTGAAGCAGTGGCAAAAAAATGTTCTGTCTAGAAACCGTAACAGCTCCTCCAAATGGAACTGAAAGTGACAGAAAGGCTGAGAAAATGAATTTTCACTTGGGGGAGAAAGGGGGGGGGGATAATACCATAACACAGAATCACATCCCTGGAGGTATAATTCTCTTGATTTAAGCACAAATAAAAAGAAACTGAATAATATGGGGGAGGCTCTCAAAATATGTCATTGAGGGTCTGTATCCAGTGCTGAAAACACCAAGTTCCCATTGGAATTTGAACGCCAGATCCTATGGCATCCTATGGCTCTCTAGGTCAAAAAACCAATATTTGGAATGAAACCTCATGGCTGGGCTTCCTGTCTAAGTAAGTAAGAGATGCCACTTCAGAGGCACTTACACATCTAATGACTGTGCTGTATTCTAGAACAACTCTATGTGATGTACAAGATCCATCAGCCAAAACTGTTACCTGTTTCAGAGGTGGGCATGTCTTATATGCACAGCAGAATCACTTACAAATTGTTGCAGCCTTATCTTGTTGGACCCTCAGCTTGTAGCCTTCATCCAGATAATTGCCATAGCCAAGCAATGGTTTAGCACTTCCACTGCCTCTTCTGGATTATATGAAAAAGAACAGTATTAATGGCAACACACTTCTAATTCATAATAAACTCATAAGGAAGTAGTTTCATGTGCATCTTTTAGCATGAGGAAGAAACTCTGTATGGCCATGAAAGACAAGTCCCATAGGACCTTAGACTATGGTGCTTTTGCCTTTCTTTACCTTGCTTGCTGTCATCAATTGCTGTATTGATTTTTTTTTCTTCTACATCATTTCCCCTTCTTTTTCTGTCTCCTCCTCAATTAGTTACATGAGTTATCTTAGCCAACTGGAGATCAGTTCACAAATAGGGTGATGTCATAATGGATTTCAGGAGATCACTTTGGTCATCTGCTGATGTCTCTGAGGCAATCCACCAAGACAGGCAAAGGTAAGGTTCCTAGAATATGAACAGATTTTGTCCTTGTTGAGGCAAATATTGAAATGGAGTGGATGTACTGTACTGAAAATGCTTACCCACATGCACACACTCCTCATTTAGTTATGCCCCAATACTAATTTCTCCTTGCTGTTAGGTAATATTGTTGATTGGCTGGACTATCATCAACATCTCACCCTTCTTTTTCTCCTGATAAATCCTTTTGTGTTGCTTTTCCCCACTGTCTTTCAAATAACACACCTATTGTCAAGTGTCTACCTTACCAGCCAAGAATATCCAGTGAAGCCTGAGTTTGGACTCAAAGAACTCCAGTCAAGCCTGGTTTTAAAAAGAATTTTTCTTTAGTCAAGGGTACCTTTTAGACAGAGGTCTGTGGCAAAGAAGTTTGGTTCCTCACTAGAGCTTTTGGGAAAAGCTTAGAGGTGGGGGCTTCTGAACCCAGATCTTAGGGGTCTGAGATAGGGAACAACTCTGAAAAAAAATTCTTGTATTTTACCTCAGGATCTGAGGACCAGTGGGCTAGCTTAAGGCTCAAGGCTCTAAGAGTTTAGAGAGCGCTTGTGAAAAAGCAGAAGCCAGGGGTCAGAACAGATCTGAGGGAGGAGAAGAAAAGGCCTTTGCTTGAAATAGAATTCTTTTAGTGACTAGAAGTAAAAGAAGAAAGACAGGTCCTTTAAAAATATGTAAACACTCTGTACTAATCATCCCAGAAGTAAATATGCCACCCAAACATACCAAAAGGGGGACTCCTGAGGCTGAGGTTTTACCTCAAGAAATGGAGGGAAACAGTGACCTAACTTTATCTCAAATAGAACAGGAGGAATTTGATGAGGGTGCCTCAGAGGAAGAAAAGGAATTAAGCCCCCAGAAGTTTGAAAAAGGGAAGCTGGAACAGGAATTTAAATTTAGGGAACTAGAAATCAGAGAAAAAGCTGAAGCAGAGGCTAGACAAATGGAATTACGACAAAGAGAAATTAAACTAAGACAAAAAGAGATGGATTTTCAATTACAGGTGAGACAATTAGAAATTTCTGCTTCAAACAATAACCTTAACAATAACAACAATGTTGGAGGGGGAATTCTCTCAAAAATTGATCTTAAGAAGTTTCCCCAATATAAAAGAGGGGACTGTCCTGAATCTTTTCTCATTGCTTTTGAGCGTGCCTGCTGGGACTTTGAAATTCGAGATGATGAAAGGATGATTGTTTTGAGTGCTCAAATAAGTTGAGATCTCACTAAGTTGTACTCCCAGATGCCCCTTGAGAAAGCAAAATATTTTGAGGCATATAAAAAGATGGTTTATTCACGGTTTTGTATTAACGCTGAACACCTGAGGTGAAAATTTCGCTCTCTTACTAAAAGGCAGGAGGAATCTTATTCACAGTTGGGAGCTAACTTGCTGCAATGTTTTAAGAAGTGGATGGAAAGGGAGAATATCACTTCTCTAGAACAAATGAAGAATATCATTGGGTTAGAACAATTTTACTCCATATTACCTGGGGAATTGCGTTATTTAGTTAGAGACAAAAATCCTAAAAATCTACTAGAAGCAGGTGAACAGGCAGATTTTATTAATGAGTACAAGGACCCATGATTCTCAGAGTTAAAATTTAACTGACTAAACTGGGACAACAATAAGAAGTCCTTTAATAAAAATTACCTCAGCAAAACAACAGGAGGAGACGGCCAGGCTAGTCTTTCCCCTAATTTGCCAAGACCTAGCCCGCCACAGCCAATAAACCCTGAGTCAAAGTTCATCAAATTTTCTCCGAATGAGATAAAGAACTATAAATGTTTTAACTGCAGACAGCCAGGCCATTTACAATTCCAGTGTGTGCGAAATAATCCTAATACAGGGGAAAATGATAATCAAACCAAAAAGGTTTACTGTTTAAAACAAGTTGAATCCTCTGAGGGAAGCAGTAAACAGGGTCCTGTTTCCCTGACAACCACAGCTTCTACTGATCTTGATGAGGAGGATGAGAGAAGGAACTACAAAAGTGGCAAGCCTGGTCATTTACAATACAGTTGTACCAAAAAAAAACCCCTAAAAATGTGGAGAATAATGGCCATATCAAGAAAGTATACTGCTTGGGAACTGTAGACGCCTCTGAGGGAAAAATAGATTCCCAAACCCTAGAAGCAAACCAGGGATACCCCAGTTCAGAAATAAACCATGAAGTAACCAAAATGGCTGATGAGGGCATTTTGAAAACCCTTAATGTTCCTTCCTGTATTAAGGAACAGAGGGAAGATAGTACTTTGAAAGATGGTACTACACTAACCCCTGAACACCCAGAGAAATCTGTGACTGATAAAGATCTGATATATGGAAATGGGTTGCAGTTGGTAGAGCATGCTAAGAGTGCTTTTGCACTTGCACTCTCACCAGGAGGCCAGGAATCTCCTACTGCATTAGAATTGGATACTGTAGCACAAGGGAGCCTGGAGAGAGAGGTTTCCGTGGATACCCAGCTTAAGAGTGGTGCTGAAGCTGATCTCATGCTTGTGAAAACCCAAAATAAAAATAGTTTGGCTCAGGAGCAGCAGAAGGAGATTATTGTGGTAGATTGCTTTGAAGCAGACACCAATATACCCACTTTGTTGTCTCCTGAATACCCTGCAAGGTCTTGCCTGGATAAGGAGCTTTTATATAAAGAAAAGTCCTTAGAGATGGCAGAGCCAAGCTTGGGAAGTGCTCCTGGAAATGAAAAGAGCTTGTATGAGGCCCAGGAAAGAGCAGTCTGTCCTGAGGACCTAGTAGTAGAACTGAGAACTATAGAGAGGAGAAAATTGCTTTTGGCAGGAATAGAACAAGTAGATCTTAAAACTTTGCAAAGCAAATCCCTACCTGACATATCCAAGAATAAAAAAACAGAATCAGATGACAAGTGCAGTGCATCTAAAACCAACCAATCATTTAAGATTGCACTTAAAAGACCCTCGTTTGAGAAGCTTAAAGAGACCTTTGATAGTGGTCCCCCACATAGGGAAAACATTTCAGTGAAAGTACCTGTGGGACAATATGTGAATGAGGAGAAAGGCATCCGCTCTGATGTCTTAAAGAGGGACGCATCCAGAGATGGCTGGGTGGAGGAGAGGGAACTGCCTACCCTTTCCCCAAATGAGATAGTGAAGCGAGCCAGAAAGAGAGCAGGCTTCATTATAAAACGACCAGCAAACGACATCCTGTGGTCAACTGAGTGGCCGATGACTGCCAGTCGATGGAAAAGGTTGCGGAGGAAGGAACCAGTGGTCAACAGAGGGACTCCTGAGTGCCAGCAGTCGTGTGTCCAGCTGAAGGAGGCAGTAACATCCAGACCAGTCTTCAGCGCAGCTGGCTACCACCAGGTGTTCACCCTCTTTACAAATGTTGTGAGCTATGGACTTGGAGAGGTGCGGTGCCTTGCAGATGACTGAGGGAGTGAGCCCGTCTTGGACTTTGCTAATTTGAACTTTGCAAAAGAGACTCAGATCATGCCTCGGAAGCCAAATGACTGATGGAGGAGGGATAGACATTTGCAAATTTGATAAAAAATTGAATATCCATGGACAGTGATGTGAAGAATGATATCAGGACTTTCATTATAAACTGAAATGGATTATGATTCACCGTTTAATTCTTTATGTAAAAGTTTCCTGGTCGCAATTTCTCTAAGGTTGGTAATGTTAATGAAAAAAAAATATTTTTATTAAGTGTAAATGATAAGGAATGGTAATTGTTTAAATTGTTTAAAGTATAAGGAATGGTAATTGTTTATATTGTGTAGAGTATAAGGAATGGTAATTGTCTAAAATGTTTAGAGTAATAAGAATGGTAATTGTTATATTGAATGTGATGTTACCTATAAAACTGTGAAATATTACATAAGTTATGTAATTGTGCCTGTTTGTTTAGGAGGAAAAACGTGTTTCCCCTCCCAAACAAACATATATAAGGGGGGAGGTCTGTAGCGTTTCCCATTTATTAGGTCAATGGTTCATGTTTTGTGATGTAATTGTTCATGCATATTCATGTTGCTGAGAGGCGGAGCCGAGAGAGATGTTATAAGAGTCAGAGAGTCAGAGTCAGTCAGTAACAGAGTCAGTTAGAGTGGAATGTGAGAGAAGGGGATAGAGTGTGGAGTTTGGGGAATTCTGAGGCGTGAGTTAGGAGTGCATTATCAGATAGAAGATTATTGTTAATAATAAATTGATTTAAAGAAGACATCCAGGAATCACTATCAATAACTGTAATCAATAAACAAAAGTTATATTTAAAAGACCTTGAAGTGTGGACTTGAACCTTCCTGAAGCAATGGTGATTTAGTGGTCACCTGGTGGCAGCAGTGTAAAAGAGGAGATTGTTTGCCTTTTTGTGCTCTGAGGCTTGATGGTCAAGCAAGGGGCACGAGGGTGAATGCCACAGTAAAGTTCCTAGAATATGAACAGATTTTGTCCTTGTTGAGGCAAATATTGAAATGGAGTGGATGTACTGTACTGAAAATGCTTACCCACATGCACACACTCCTCATTTAGTTATGCCCCAATACTAATTTCTCCTTGCTGTTAGGTAATATTGTTGATTGGCTGGACTATCATCAACATCTCACCCTTCTTTTTCTCCTGATAAATCCTTTTGTGTTGCTTTTCCCCACTGTCTTTCAAATAACACACCTATTGTCAAGTGTCTACCTTACCAACCAAGAATCTTTAATTCTTTTGTGAGCTATCGATTTGTATCTTGGTTAACTTATATCTTCCAAGTACACTGACTTGATTCTAGATAAACATAATTTGTTCTTCTCTCCAAGCTGGACTCTTTTTCAGGTAGCCATGAACATCTTGTTAGTTTTAGATTCATTATATTTGACACAGAAGCAAACTGTCTCCTGTTGATTCATCTTCCTTCATGGTGCGCTGAATTTTAGATCTCTTTGTAGCTGATC